GTGCTGGTGACGCGGTGGGCATGAGGGCTGAGGAAGATTGACGTCAGGGAAGGAAAAAGTCCCGAGGCAGAAAAATGTGAGCGGTAGCGGTGCTGCAGAAGGACTTGGGTTTTGCTGCCGTTACAGCTCTTAGCGGGGGTCGTGCATAAAGCATATCCTGGGTGAATACTGGAGTAGGAAAAATAAGCAGCTCAGCGAGGGGGGGAAATCAGGTCACTTTGATTCCCAAGGCAAGGATTTCATTTTGCCTGGGAGAAGGTCTTAGCCCCGTTTTCTGCCTTAACGAAGCAATGGCTTTAAAAAGAAAGCAGCGCGATGTTGCCGTTTGTTCCTCTCCAAATTCCCTTGGCAAAGTATTGGCTCTGACGTTCCCCGCGATTCCTTCAGGTTACGTCCTGTTAGCTTAGACATGGCCCTTTCTGCAGTCCCACCCGAAACGCTGCGGACGATTCAGAACACGTCACTGAAATGGCAGGCGACCCGCACGTGACGTCCCCGTGAGGTGTGCTGGAGACCCGACTTCGGGGGGGATGGAGCCATGGCGGGGTGCCACCCTTGAGGAGCCCGAGTATCCGAGGCGTTCTCCAACACCCCCGCTTCGCAAGCTCTCCCTGAAGCACCGCGTGGCTCACCCCAAGCCTTCCCCATCTCCAGCGCTTCAGACCCTCCCGAAACCGGAGCAGCCAGGCGTGCTGAGGGGCCTTGCTGGGCCCGGCTCAGCCATGGGTGTGAGGACCAGCGATAACAGCCCAGCAGAACGACAAATAGGCATTTTGCCGAAGAGCTGACTTTTCCCCACTCTCCCGGGGGCATCAACGTGTTGGGCTCAGCCCAGCAAACCGCTAGATAACGGGTGGCAAAAGCCGAGCGGTGTTACGGCCGTACGACCTCTCCTGCCTGCGCTTTGCTGGTCCTAAAATAGACTTCCACGGCCTGCTGGAACAAAATCTTCGCTCAGGCTGTGCTGGTTAGCGTTTGGCTTCGGCACAAGGAAAGCAACAGTCCCACCTTTGCCCGCCCTGAGTTACCCTGGTGGTCGCCGGTCCGTGCCAGCTGCCCCGTGCCGGGGCTCCCCGGGGCTCCCAGCGCCGTCCTGCCAACCTCGGCTGCAGGCGGGAGAGGGGAAAGCAAAGCCTCGCCTGCGTGACGTCCCGGAGCGGGCTGCGCACGCGTGTTGCCGGCAGACAGGTTGGTTCCTGCCTGCACTGACTCTTGCCCCTGGCCCTGCGGCTT